GCAGCTCGACTGGTCTTCAACTTCCGAATTCTCACACTACTCCACTCCTCCGCTCTCTTCACTGGCTACCGGTGGCGGCGCATCCAGTTCCAACATTGGTGCTCACGTACCATGCTGTGAATGGATCGGGTCCAGCTTACATCCCGGACATGGTCAAACCCTAACTTCCAAACCCGAATCTCCGCTCTGCATCTGCCAAAATACTCGTCCCTCCCTCACTGAGAGCAAAACACTCGACTAGGTCTCGACTCTTCGCTGTCCTTGCGCCGAAATGGTGGAACGAGCTCTCTGAAGACATCAGGACCGCAGAGAGCCTTCACATCTTCCGCCGCAAACTAAAGACACACCTCTTCAGACTCTACCTCGACTAAAGACTAACAAATTGTAGCACTTAAATTGTACTTGTAACGTCACTCATCTATAGCAAATTGTAAATTGGCTTATTTGAGGAAATTGCACTTTCTTGTTTCTTGTTCTCCTGAGTTTGTACCCTATGGTTGAATGCACTTATTGTACGTCGCTTTGGATAAAAGCGTCAGCTAAATGACATGTAATGTAATGTAATATATGGATCAGTTGGGGAATCTGTTGATCCATACTGGTTGTACACGGCGCTCAAGGCTCTCTGCCAAACATGCCAAAGCTCGGTCTACGACGGCAAGATGCTGAGCGGCGCTCAAGCGCGGTAGATATGGAGCTTGTTTCAGGGCGCGTCGGAGAAACAAAGCGTTCGTTCTTGCCGAGCACTTCATGAGATTAAAGAGCGGGAGACGATTCCCTTTTCTTTACAGTAGCTGAACCATCTTAACGGGGAAAATAAGTTATTCCAAAAGGAGCCCTTGGCAGGCGGCGTGGCTGGAGAGCAGCCGAAGATTTGAGGCGTGGATGGCGAGGGGGGCGGCGGGAGCAGGCGTTTCCTGCTGGAAGGTCGACACTTCACCGCCTTTTTCGACCACAAGCCGCTGGTTTTCGCCATGGCCAAGGTGGCCGAGCCATGGTCCGCCCGCCAGCAATGTCATCTGTCCTACATTTCCATGAGTTCACCACGGATTTACAGCACGTGGCTGGTAAGGAAAACCAGGTGGTGGACTGCCTGTCACGGGCTGTGGCAGGAGCAGTCCATCTTGGTCTGGATTACAGCCGCATGGCAGCGGATTAGACCACAGACCCAGACGTGCTCACCCTGAGGACCTCGACTACAGGTTTGAAAATAGACGATGTGGTTTTTGGTGAAGCCGACACCACGCTCATGTGTGACGTTTTTACAGGCAGTCCTGTAAAAGACGCGTCTTTGATCGAGCGTCACAGAGGCTGGTGGCAGCGAAGTTTGTTTGGCACGGTCTCAAAAAGGACGTAAGAGACTGGGCTACCACTTGCCTTGAGTGCCAACGGGTCAAAGTACACCGGCACACTAAAGCTCCGTTAGAGTTGTTGCCGGTGCCAAAGAGGCGGTTTGACCATGTTAACGTGGATCTGGTTGGCCCTCTGCCCTCCTCTCATGGTTTCACCTACCTGTTGACCATGGTTGACAGGACCACCTGCCAGCCTCAGGACCACCCGAGGCTGTGCCACTGACATTGTTGGCATCTGTTGAGATGAGACGGGCATTTATCCTCTGACCGGGGAACGCAGTTCACGTCTGAGCTGAAGAACGCGGTGGCCCATAGCCTCAGAGCGAAACTCCACCGCACGACTGCATACCACCCGCAGGTTAACGGACTCTGTGAACGATGAAGGCTTCTCTTCGTGCCGGCCTCAAAGACAGCAACTGGGTCGACAAGCTCTCGTGGGTGATGCTTGGCATCAGGACTGCACCGAAGGAAGACCTGCAGTCCTCGTCCGTGGAGCTTGTCTATGGCCAGCCACTACGGGTTCCAGGGGATTTTGTTCCTGCTCCAACCTTCCCAGGCTTCCCACTACTGGACAATGCGAGGCTTTTTGCACCTGTCCCTACTTCCCGTCACAGCCCAAATGAGACCCCGCAACGCTCTGCCTGTTGTTGGGACCGGAGCTGTGGGCAGTCAAGACCAAATTGGTGAGTGTCTTTGCTACCAGGCTCTCACCAGATCTAGATACTTTATCAGTGTAACTCAACAAAAAACTAATTTAAAGTGACTGCAATGAGGTTGATGAAATCTACTCCCCAGAGCTAAACTCTCACAAAGGAGGACTTTTTAGCCTATTATGCTCTCACAGATAAATCTGTAAGTAACATTCATCTACTTCATCTACCCAGAGATGCAACTATGGACTATAAGCCCTACTACAAACATAAAAATAAGACCCATAACATCAGACCTGGTTGTAACGAGTATAGCCGAGAACCTCGCTGAAGCCTGTGAATCTTTTTAATCATGGGCTATGGTAGGGAGACCCCAGAAAAGAGATAGAGTACAAGAAACTCAATAATGCAAGATATAAGAATGGCATTTGATTAAATTGTAAAAATGAGCAAGCCATGGGGGCTGACTCCATGGCCAAGAAGTTCAGAAATAATAACAATATTGGGGAGTTATGGAGGC